AATGGCTGGACAGAGACTGAACTATTGTCTGCTCCTTGGAGGTGGGGCCCTTCTAGGATAGTGGCTGTGAGTGTGGGAGTCTGGACTCTCAAAGTCAACAGGACTACTTACACATCAAACATGTGCCTAATTCAAAAGTACCCCGCTGAATTTGCAGCAAGGACTCCCTCCACCCCTTGTATTCATGTACAAGGGTTCATCTGTACATGGATACCAAGGAAACTAAAGGCAAATCAATGAAAGGTGTGTTAAAGCAGGTTACACCCCTCTCTGGAAGTGCCCATTAAACAGAAAAGTGCTCTCAGATTACTATAGTTTAATCATCCAAGGAGAAAGTTGCAGGTCTGTGGCAGATCCATTCCCGAATGAGAACCTCTATCTGAGGCTTCAGTGCATTTCAGATTAAATGCAGCATCTTTACACTTGAGTCTTATTTACTTTTACTTGCACCAAGAATCCCTGCATAGTTTTGAACTATGTTTTTCTCTAACTTTTCTAGTAATAAGAACAAAATTTGGGGGGAGCAGGAGGGGAGGGTAGGAGAACATTTACTCACCGTGTTTAAGGGGGTTTGGTTGAATGTGCACAAACAATCAAGGAAAAGTTAAAGTCATAGGGATACATTTTAGCTGTATTTTGTTAGCTTGAGAAGATGATGTTGGGTGAGTACGGGTGTGTGGCAGAGGGAGGGATGAAGAGGGAAGGACGAACCCTACAGATTCATGTTTTGAAGATGCACCTTATATCTAAGCACAGACAAGCCCAAGGTCAACAGTTTCATTGCTCCAAAGGAACATTACCACTTTAGTCAACTAAGGTATTCTCTCAATTGACTCAGCTTAGTCCCACTGAATACAGATACAATTGCAATGATGAAGCAGTACTGGAAACCAAGCATCAGGATGTGTTCACCATGGTACCATTCTTGTATAGGCAGGTAAAATAGTTAACTATGTGTAGTATAAACAAAACAAATAGTGACAAGTTAAGGATTGCAAAGTGACCTGAATCTACAAACCCAGGGACATTCCTTGCTTAGAAACAGGGCAGCATTTGGTCTAGAGAACGTATCTTAGTGAGCCTTATTGCATTAAGTAGCATCTGGTGCATTGCTTTATTTGTAGCGGGTGTTAGGCTTCAGAAGCTCAGAATCCCATCTGCAACGGCAGACTGTTGCAGCATTCAGCTATTAATAGTTGCTGGTATACACTTACTTCCAGCCAAGGGACACCAGGATGGAGGAGACAACCAGGTGGAAATAATGCACTAGGGTGACTTACAGCCAAAAAGGACGATCCGTTTCCCCACACCTCAGTCTTGGAGATGGAAATGCAATTTAACAGCCGTGTCTCATTATTTATTAAGCATACTAACTAGTAATTCTTACAGGTGGTCACAAATCCAAACACAGTGGACAAAGTTCTCTACTTCTAATGAAAATGTAAACCCTTTGGCTTTGAGTCAGTTCAACTCATCAGAATCCAGCCTGGCACTGCACTCATGTTTAAGAATTAGTATCCAAAGCAGTCAATGAGCTAAGCTCAGAGAACTGAAAAAGTGGGAATGCTTCTGATAAAAAGCAAAGCATATTTCCAGAACAAGCGTAAGAAAGGAAAAAAAAAAAAGTGGGAGGCCATTTGTTCTACCTGGGCAATGGTCTTTGATTTAACTGGAAGTGACAGAGCTGATTTTCAATTCCAAGTGCAGGTATGCCTGGAAAGATGCCAGGGCCCGCAGTGCCCATGCTCCATTTCACAACTGCAAGCACGTGTTAGGGAGCTGCTTAGCTACCTCTTTGTACTGGTGGCTATATTCATAAGTGTAAGCCTGCTATGGCATTCTCCCTCTCCCCCTAACCACCTTGTTTCATCATTGCAGCTGAATATTTCTTCAGGCTATGGTGCAGTTAAACCTAAAGAGCCCTGATTTTTCTAGAAAGGCCTGTAAGACACTATAGTCCCTACTGATATTTCTACTTGCTAAATAATTCCCCATAACAAATCACAAATAGTAATAATCAGAGTAAATCAGTGTATTCCACAAGAACATTGCAAATGGGGGTGGAATACTGAGTTGGCTCAGTAACAAATTGTAAGTCTCTCATTAAGCAAGATTTGAACTTGGATGTGTGGTAGTGTGGCTCAGTGGACTGGAACACTAGGGTTCGATTTCCAGCTCTGTACCTGGACTGCTGAGCAAATTTGGGTTAGTTATTCCCCTCTTTGCATGCAGTGACCCCTTCTGTAGAATGGGGGAAAAAAAACAAAAATCCATTGAGCTCCTCTTTAAACTGGTTTAAGATCTACTGTTAAGAAGGATCACTTCAAAACTAGGTATAAGCACCATGAAGCCCTAGCATGTTGATACTAAAAGGAGTTACTGAATATTAGGGAGAGAGAGCTTACAAGAAGGACAAAAGCTCTCACGCTCAATCACTGATCTGTCCTGAACATCAGGCAGCTGTTTTTACAGCCTAGTGCCTTTGGATGTTTAATTTGGCCTTCAGTCTTCAGCCTTGCTTCATTACTCTGCTCTGAACACCTGTGCAGGCTGGGAACCAAGAATTATCTCCTGCTTGCTGGAAACTGTCAGAAACATCAAATCCAAATTCTGACCGTGTTCAAAACCTCCACTGAAAATGAAACTGCCATCTCCATATGAAATAGGAAACTGCTACTGCAGGTTATCTCTGCATGGCTTAGTGAACAGAAGCTTAAGCATACTGAAATACAGATCCTTGATTGTATTTTTATGCCCAAGACCATTACAAAGATGTTTCTATACTACCTTCACTTCTAAGAAAGGCTTACTAACTGGCTATTAAGCTGTGACACCTCATCAGTAATATTTAAGTTGTTGTGTTTTGCAGCTCTTTTAATGAAAGAATTACATCAAATTGTCAAGCAACACTGGGAAGCGGGATTCATAACTGAAATGTCCAGTCCACTGGGAAACTCACACTAAGCTGATATAAGAAGGTTTCATTTTCCAGCTGTGCTTTGTAGGAGATGTGACAAACTGGTGTATATCTTCAGGGTGTCTATGCACCATGAACTTTTGACATCTCGCTTACTGCTGAAGTGACATGTTGAAATGGTTTCTTTTTCTCCTTTCAGGCATTTTCTATACTTCAGCAGCCTAAAGATTTTCTGATCCAGTGAAAGAAAAAATGACCTGCAGTGCAGAACTGGGCAGATCTCTAGGCACAACGGTCCCTGATTCTGGAATCATCACATGCAGCCGCACGTCCCCACTCCAGACGCTTAGGTAGGCATTTGGGGGGCTAGCTCTCTGGGGTGGCAGTTAAAAAAAGTGGGAAGGGAGGGGACTGCAGCTGTTGCTGCATCTCAGTGCAGAAGACTCATAATTCAGACTCTCAGCATAAAAGTTTTTGGGCATTCAGGGCTCCATTCTCCTCACCCCAAAGAACATTTAATTTCTCCAAGTACATGTACAGACTCTCTGCTGGGTGAACGAGGATTTCAGGGCCCTCTCATACAAAAGTCCTTCATTAATGTGGCAGGCCAGATGCCTGCCATCACTAGTCTTCAAGCTGGCTGGGCTCCCTTCCCCTCAGACAGGTTACAATTTTGTTTAGGAGGGGGAAGCCTTCAATCCTGAGGTCATGTGACAGACATAGTCACTATACCTGTCTCCACATCCAGAAGAGGACTTGGGTCGCAACAAAGGGAACCCTAATGATGACAAGATGTCCATATGTAAAGTATGCCGGGAACATGCACTGCCACCTAATGCAGGCAGCTTAAGAAGGATCCAGACCAAGACAAATGTGTTGCTGCCTGCCTGCATGCAGTGTTGCCAGTTCGCACAATTCTGTTATCAAATTTGGGATAGTTAATCGTTAATAATAGTTAATTTAAAAAAAAATTCAGCCCTCATGTTGGCAAAGAAAAAGTTTGAAAACATGAACCCAAGAATAATGTTTAGAGCTTCACACTTTGAAAGTGAAATCATTGGGTTTTTTAATCCTTTGGGACTAGCAATACTGTGCATGCCAGTCAGCAACAGAAATGAGGATTTAGCTATGGTTTCTCCTACTGATAGCAGCTCCTCTTGGCAGTAAATAAAAAAGAGGTGCATGTGTACACACACAAATGTGCACACAACTAGCTACATTTGCATAAATAAACATGAAAACTTTGCACAAAATGAGTATTTTTTATTTACATGCAGAAAAGACATTCCAGTTGCAACTGCAGTACAGTGAACATATCCTTTCGTATGGGATTCCTGTCTCAAGTCTCATTCAGAGCTGAGCAGGACAAAGCATTATTGAACTGAATACAATTTACTCACAGAAAACAGTTTGTTTCCCATTTCTAAAGCATCAATGGACCCAATTAAGACCTTAGTTACATCGGTGTAAATTGGGAACAGATCTTTTGCAACTGGTGGGGTGATGCCAATATAAATATGGTGCAAGAAAAGAACAGCTCTCGTATTTCCCAAACAGGATAGCCACATTAATGGAGACACTGAAAGCTTGATTCATTAAAAATGCATGGCCCATATCAGTAGGTAGTTGCTCTGCTGATTGGTAAAGAGGCACAGTGGAGAAAGCAAATTTGCTGCATTCTCCCACAATGTATTCAGCCTTCTCTCTTTTACACCCAGTGACCTGATTTTGTGGCTAGTCTACATGTTAACTGTTTGCTGGGAATTCTGCATGTGGATAAGACTCAGACTGTAGGTGGCATTTTAATGATGCGGCTGCCCAGTTCCTGAAATGACTGTGTTAGCTTAGCAAGAGCTGCCAACCTCAAAACATGTGCGTGTCTGCAGAAGCAGAAGAGTGTGAATAATTGAAGGCTGCTCACGCCCCAGGGACAGTATCTGGAGCTTTAGGGATGCCAGTTCTTATATTGGTTTCACACAGGTTTCTACTAGCTTATCCTTATGTACACCAACATATGTTAAGGAAGAACAAGTTGAAGTGATATATTTAAGGCCTGGGGGTCATTCTGAACTTCTAAGTCCTGAATTCTACTTTAAGTCCATGCATTGGCCAGCCTTTATCCTGAACCAATGACGTTCAGCAGACACACCTGTGCAGCCTTCCAGGCTAGATGTCATCATTTCTTTCAGGACCAGACATGTAAGTACCCCATGGATTGCTGTCAGATGAATGGACAGCTGTACCCCTTTCTAAATGGAGTGCTTAGCCAACACATTTGGGGCCGAATTGTATTTCATGCTTAGAGGGGTAACAGAGGTCTGTGGGAAGCGGTACCCGCATTCCTAGAGCCCCACCCTGCTTCCATTTCCTTCCCTTCACCACTACACAGGCCTGCTGAGCATCACAGGAGAGGAGAAGAAGTCTACATCTGTTGGCTAAAAGTGTGCATTCTGCAGCCCAGCACTTCTTTTTGCATCCCTTGTAGGAGTAGCAGCAGCCTTGAGAGTCTGTTGAGAACAGGCAGGGAAGGTAAAAGGGCTTGACCTAAACTCAGGATTGGCCAGTGGAAGATAGATGAAGCAATTTCAGGTGCCTGGGCAGCTAAAAAGATGCACAACTACCACTTCCTACACACACATGCACACACACTTCCAGAGTCCCCCCAAGAGATTAAGCAGGACTTATTCCAAAGCCCACGACAGACCCAGCCAAACTGCAACTGTTGGCAGTTATGTAGGATGGCAGATGTATTTATTTTATCTGTCAGCACAGGGTTGAGGTCAGAATCAGGTAAATTTCCATTAAGTTCCATCTAGAACCTCTGGCTGTTCATCTCATACACACAGTCATGGCATGCTGAGAGATAACACTCTTAACACACTACCTGTAACATTATACCTTTAAGCTATCTTGGTCACTCTCCTTTACCAAAGATGCTGGCTTGGTTACTTTTGTAAGAGAAGGAGCATTCTGCATGCAAAAATCATGGGACTCTGAGTGATCAGTCAACCTCTCAAGAAATCCTCACATATTCTTCTTAAGTCTTTTTTGCTACAAAGCTTCTGAGATTGACATCAGCTGCAGCAGCTTCCTGCATCAGAGGTTGTGGCTCCATCATGACACCAATTCACCTTCATCAGAAGCCAGAGCCTGGCTTCTGTTCAGTAGATTTAAATAATTTTTGAGGCTTGGCAAATTAATCAGCATCCACTGCTGTGGGTCACAGCTGATGCCAAGAGCAAAGAGACCCTCCCAAGAACATAAGCAAATCCAGACGAACTTCATTATTTAGAGAAGTGCATGTTCCAGTTCCAATCAGTCCCATCAGAAGACAGGCATAATGACTTTCTGGCAAAAGACAGTGGCTGTGGTGGAGATGGCACAAAGATTTAGATGGGCCCATTCAATGGGGCTCCGGCTGATGCCAATAGAGGGCCCCAGATGCCTGTATTATTTTCATTCTCCAGCTGAGAGTGTTACCCCTGAACTGCTCTTCAGAACCAGAGGTAATCAGACATCTGGTACATCATTCTTGCTAGCCAGAAATTTACAGTAGGGAACAGGTTATAAAGCAGCAATACTCATGCTGTTATAATTAAGGGTCTGTCAGCCTTCTGCACCATTGGTCAAGTGCATTTAGGGATTTCAAGAAAAAGCTTCACAGCCCTGACTCATCCCTATACACTTCCTTTCTTCCACCCCAAATCCACCTCTTCAGTACAGCTCTACCTTCCTCTAAGCAGGCAGGATAGGAACCTGTCTGTCTTGTGATTAGGGCTGTCAGACTAGATCAGACCAGTGGTACATCTACTTCAGTATCTTGTATCTCTGATCGTAGTCAGTACCACCAGGTAGTTCTTAAAGGGAGGTACAAGAATCCCAAAGTTGGCAAGTCTAGAATAACCTGCCTCTAATATATATATTTTAAGGTCATAATTTTTAGCTTTATCAGATGTTAGGTATTTAAAAATCCATATAAATAACTAAACTTTCCTGAATCTCTCTAACCTTCTATGATACCTTATGGCAATGAATTCTATAGGTTACTGATATACTGTGTATATAAGTAATTCCTCTTATCAGTTTTAAATTAGTAGCTTTCCAATTCAACTGAATGGCCCTCTTATTTCACCGAGTGACAATCCAGCACATCATAAAAGCCATTATTACCGTTCAGTTCATGTCAGCTGCATTACTGAGGTGGTCCCTGTCACCTCAATGACCCAACAGAGGGCAAGGCCCAAAGTAAAGCTTTCTTGCCTGCTGGCTCAGAAATCTGCTTGATGCCAGATGTCTTTCTCCTATTTATTATTACTAATTGCTATATTTCCTTCCCCCCACCCCTTATTTAATGAATACCAAAAATGACAACACAAAATCTTCAGGCCAAAATTCAGCACTGACCTCCTCCCCCCATAAACCAACTGAGGGCCATCCCTTGGGCCATCCACCCTAATGTCCATTTTCCTTTTCTAAACATCCAGCCATTCTAACAATCTTTTCCTTCAGGCGAGTCTCAGTACACATCACAATATTCAAGCAGCACATTAAGACTGCAGTGTCACAAACCAGATTTTTAGAAGGTTTTTGTTTGAGTACTTGCACAAAAATGAAATGATTAACTGAGTTGCAGAAATCCTCCAGGCCAGGCACAAGGGAGTCAGAGGCACATGTGAATGATTTAAGTGGCACCTCAGCAGTTTGCTTCTCAGCCATAACTGCATTAAACTAAAGTAACTGCCAAGCAGGGCTTCAGCATTACAGCGTCTCACTGCACTCCCTGAGCAACTGGAAAGCAAGTGGTGAATGTGTATAAGTTTGGTATGGGAGGAAACGCTCTCTAAGAACAACACCAGGCCTTTTAAATGAAAATATGGCCATAGTATACAAGTGCCTGAGCTAAAGTCAAGAGAAGATGTGAGAAGGGCTAATTTTGCTGCAGGGGCTTCAAACCCCAAACTTGTTTCTAACTAATGTCATAGCTCATGATTCAGAGTCCCTACAATGTAGCTGTAGAGGTGAGGTCCCACTGCAGCATAGGAATAACCCATTCTTTTCAATTTAAACCCAGCTTAATGCTTCAGAAAGATGCTGGATTGACAGGCCAGATACAGCAGGTGGATCCACTTCTCTTTGCCCAGGCTGAAATACCAGGCTTAGAGATGTACGCTGCTGCCTCTTACAAATAGTTTTATTTGCTAGCTATGCCATCAAAATTGGAGTACAAGCACTTAGTGCTCTGCATTGTGTGTTTGAGTGAGTTTAATGGTTGGGTGCCAGGTGTTGACAAGTTATTGCTTCCCCAAGACATTGGAGGCTGCATCTGGTTCCTCGCAGTCTGAGGTCTGCATTTAGCCAGATCCAACGTTCTGCATAAACAAAGCAAGGTACAAGGGCTGTCTTCTCTGCACTCCCCTGACCTCTCCCCTTTTTGCCCAGTAATATTTATCAAGGCCTGCAATTAGACTCTTTTATCAATGCCTGTTAGCATTCTTCCCTTCATTTGTTTCTTACTGCAGTGCCATTAGGAAGAGTTGTCAGTACCTAGTGTCTAATATTTGGAAAAACTCATTGGTTTGTCTGACACCTATTGCACAGATGAACCAGAATGAGTCATTTACAAGTTGATGGTATTCATCACTTGGGTACTAAATGCCAAATGTGGAACTATGGTATCAGTGTTTCATTAATGTCCTTGTTATGAATTAAGAAGTCTTGTGTAGAGAGGTTAGGGTATCATAATCACAATGCACTGCACAGATCTGAGATCAGCATTTTGCTCAAAGCAGTGCAGCTATGAAATCACTCTTGCTTGTGCCATTCATTAAAAAAGGATGTTTATGCAGCTGTAACACATATTGGCAGGTTATACAAATTATGACATGTTAAGAAAGCAAGACTGATAACATTTCTCTGTTTTTAAAATGACCGAGATGAACTCAGCAAAAAGCCATACTTATGAGTGAGGCATGTGGCTGGATTTGCTATATTTGCAGATAAAGCAATGATGACCATTTTAAGATTCACCACTTCCCCAATTTCTAGGATTTGATGGTGTTGGTACAGATAAATACTTCTCACTTCAATACTTTGGTTTTAAATTAACTCCAAGCCACAGCCCAGGCCTCTAATAGGAAGGTTCACAGTATTTCACACAAAATTGTATAACATTTACATGAGGATGTCATTGTGGATTTGACCTCATTCTGCTTACTGATAATGTATGAGCAATAAATGGTAA